TGAGTGCTCAGGGTTTCGCTGTGTGTGCCGTGGTGAGAGGGGTCCCTTTTCCACCCATCTCCATGTTGGGGATCAAGTGCAAAACAGAAGCACAAAGTGACTAGTTTTCTGCTCTCCTGCCATCACCAGGAAAACTGACATGTGGCTAGTCCAGCCGTGGGCAAACTACGGCCCGCAGGCCGGATCCAGCCCATTTGAAATGAATAAAACTATTGAAAAAAAAGACCGTACCCTTTTATGTAATGATGTTTACTTTGAATTTATATTAGTTCACACAAACACTCCATCCATGCTTTTGTTCCGGCCCTCCGGTCCAGTTTAAGAACCCATTGTGGCCCTCGAGTCAAAAAGTTTGCCCACCCCTGGGCTATTCCAATTCCCACCCGGTCAGGTGGATGACTAAGTGAGGAAAGTGTAAGTGTCAGGCAGCAGGGAGTGGTGGGGACTGGGGCGAACTGGAGGGCAGATGCAAGTTAGGCAAGGAAGTAGCTCCTAATGGTCAAGGGAAGCCAGAGGCCTGAATTCTTATGTAAAATGTTTACTTCTTTAGATGTTAAACACAAACGCGGACATTTAAATAACACGGTGGCAGGCCCAGCCGATCACTGGCGGACAGGGTTCAGCCCTGGGCTGTCTGTAGTTTGCAGCCTCTGAGGCCAATTGTGTGAGTTGGGCCTTTGCCTTTTCTGAGGCTGTGCCCTGTCCAGCCAGTGGGCCTGGTACCTCCTCCGTGGGCGTCACTGGCAGGACTATCCAGCTCAGGTTTGGAGAGCGTCTCCCGCCGGGCCTGGCACAGTCGGTGGCACCAAGCTTAGTTTTATCCTGCTCCCAGGGGCTGGGGAGGGGGCTTGCCTTGGCATGGCCACAGGGAGACCTGGAGAGAGCTGAGACCCAGGAGCAGGCAGGCAGGAGGCTTGAGGTCCCAGGGCTCAGGGCGGAGATGGGCTCCCAAAGCTCAGGCAGGGCCAAAGGAGGCGGTGGGGGAGTGAGGGGAGACAGCAGCCAGGGCTGGGTCCTAAGCAAACACTGAAGTTCTGGGGCTAACGCGAGCAGCGAGCCCGGTGGGGGTGGGGGGGTGGGGCCTGGGGAGCCAGGGAGGGGGCTGCTTGCCATGGGATGCCATGCTCCTGGACATTCGGGCCACATGCCTCTCAACAAGCAAGGTCCAATGTCACTCCCGTGTGTAATCGCTGCCCCTAGTCGCACTGGAGGAGCTTGGCCCCACAGTCCTCACAGCCGCCCCCCGGAGCCTGCGCTACCGTGACCCCTCCTCCAGAGAGGAGCAGCTGAGGCTTGTTAATGCCACATTCCCCGGCACGTTCCCCGTGCGGAGTGCCCACGGGTGGCTTCCCGTAGCCCTGGTGGTAGCTCGTCTCCAACGAAGGCCCCATGAGCCACCGCTCCCGGGCTGGGGTTTTGTGCAGCCCCTTCTCCTTGAATCTGGCCCCATCACTTGCTCGTGAGCAAGAGAATACACACAAGGGACCCTGGGACCTCCGGAGCAAGGCTATAAAATAAACCTGTAGCCTCCGCTAGGATCTCTGGGAACACTTGCTCCCCGCAGGGGCCCAGACACCGTGCTGGGGCAGCCGCTCCACTGACAGCCCCAGGGGAGCCCCCGGCGCCAGCCGCACCACCTGCCAGCGCTGCCAGGGGCCATCTGGATGCCCGGACCGCCGACATCGGTCTGAGGCGTCACGGAAGGCCCCGCGCCAGGCCCCCAGCTGAGCGCAGTCAACCACGGAGCCCTGCCCGCAGTCCGCTCTTCTCTTCCCGCTGGGCCCGTGACAGAGGCCGGGCCTGTCTTGCCTTGGAGCTGGTCTCCTCGCGGCCAGAATTGTGACAAATGGCCTCACACATATTAAACTAGAGAGATGACACCACAAGGCCCTGCCAGGCCCCAGATGCGAGGCATGAAAAATGGGGCTGGTCCATCTTGCGGGCCTTGGTGACAAGGAGAAATGGGTCAGCCCTAATAGGGGCTACACATTGGGCGCCCGTCTTAAATAAGTCAAATGGGAATTCACTGCCCCTTGGGGGCGGGGCAGCCCTTAGGGAGCAGAGGAGCCGGGCAGGAGACCCGGCTTCAGGGGGAAAAGGTGCCCATGGCCGACTCCAGCAGCTCCGGTCTCGGCACCGAGTGCCAGGGCGGAGAGCCAGGGGCTTCGGGAAAGAGAGGCCGGTGGGAGGAGGCGGTTCAGAGTCCTGGGCCGGTGACCTACCCTTTCTGAGCCTCAGCTTCCACATTTGCAACACGGGGTCACCGTCCGTGTTACATTTCAGATCGGTAACGGTAACAGCAGAAGAGCATGTGCAGGCGTCGAACAGTGTGGGGGGCGCACAGGAGCCGTGTCTGTCCCATCATCTCCCCCGCCGCACACAGGGGCTGAAAGTAGGGGCTCTGGAGCCCCCCGCCTGGGCCCACCCCAGCGCCCCCACTCACAGGCGGGTCCCCTGGACGCCGCCCTGCAGCTCCCCTGCCTCAGCCACCCCACTCCCAGCTCGGCTGTGATGACACACCTGTGCTCACTGCACGGAGTCAGCACCCACAACTGTTCTCTCCCCTCCTGTCTCCTTCCCTAGCGCGGGGTCACTACCTCCCAAGGTGAAGGTCTAAGGAGGAGCTGCTGGTGGGAAAGGAGGATGGGTAAAGGGAGTAAGAGCTTTAGCTGGCTCCGCTGTCACGGGTCTCCTTAAGGGGATCAGGGGTGGTGCTGACGGGCCAGGGTCCCTTTAAGGGGCAGAGCCATGCAGGGGGAGGGGATGTCGCGGGCGTCCCCAGGGTCTGCACTGGGTCTGTCTCAGGCATCCCTCTCCTGACAGCCGACCACCTTTCCCCAGAGGAGCGCTCTCACCGCCCCGTCTGCCCTGCCCCCTCCTGTCTGCCCTGCCCCCTCCCGGCTCACTGTCCGTCCCTCCTCTGCCAGCTTTCCTGACCAAACCCTCCCTGGGCCTCCTGCCAGGAGCTGTGTGAGAGCCCTGCTCTGTGCTTCCACCGTGGTGTGTGGTGACCTCCCCATGGCCCCCTCCCCCCAGGAGAGTCCACATCATTGAGATGAGAGTTCACTCATCTCAATGCCATTGCAGTGCTATCCTGGCACTGCTGTACCCCCATCCCCCCACCAACACACAGACACACACCCCTCCAAGAGAGTGCTCAGTGAGTACGTGCTGAATGACCAAGTGAGTAAATGGCTCAGCCACCAGAGGCAGACGGAACCCCTGGGCACTGGGCAACGGCGATCAAGGTCTCTCCAGCACACGCTCCTTCTGATAACAGCCCCCCACCCCCAGGTTTCCTCTGTGGGACCCCTCCTCCTCTCTCTGTCCAAGGGTTTGGGTGGGGCCAATAGCATGTGACCCAGGCCAGGCCAATGAGAGCAGCCCTGTCTCCCAGGGTCTAAATCATTGGTTGAAGGATGGTCACATGACTTAAGCCAAGCCCGCGAAAGGCAGAACCGGGGTCTGGGCTGGAAAGGGTGTGAGGATGGCCTCTCTGCTGGTCCTGCTGCATTTGTAGGATGAAGGCCTGGAACTGAGCGTGGTGACCCTTTGTGCCATCACTTGGGGAAAAGCTGCTTGTGAACAAAACCAACACAAAGGGAATGGAGGCAGAGAAGGGGGAGGATGACAGTCCCTAAGGAATCCGCTCATCACCTGGAGCCAGCCGCACCTGAAGCCGGCGTTTCGGTAGCTCACCCAGCACCCAGGCCATCCGCTCGCCATGCGAGAGTCTAACTCATTCGCAGCCCAGAGAAGGGCCTGGTCAGCTGAGCCATAGCTCGTGACACTCCCTGTCGTGGTGGTGGCTCAAGAGAGAAAGTGGCCTGAGTTGGGCTCATGGGAGGGAGGCTGGGGACTGTAGTGACTTTGGGGAAAGGGAAACCCTGATCCCCCCATCCCTGTATGTGAAGGAGGAGCTTTCTCACCGTCCTTCCCCCCACCCCGGGAAGCCTGGCCAGGAGTGGAGTTGGCATGTGGGGGGCAATGCTCAGTGACCATAAGGGGACACTCAGCCCCGTGACGTCACCTACACTCCCGTGTTCGGGAACCCGAGCTTCCTCATTGCTCAGACGAGTGTGGGTGGGGTTTCCCTTGTGACAAGCCATGCCCCCTAGCTGGTCCCCAGGGACTAATACAAACCCCTGTTTACTCAGCTAGGGAGCCCATCACTCACAAGCAAAGGGATCCTGGCTGGTTCTGCCTTTCGCACACTGTGCTCTGGGGTCCGGAGCCCCTCACTGGGGTCCTCGCACCCTTGGGACCACCCAGCACCCCCCATGGCTCGCCCACCTCGGGTCTCACCAGCTTCCACCTCCACAGCCTCTAAGACAGGGGCTGGCCCTAACTGGTGTGGCTCAGTGGATAGAGCGTCGGCCTGCGGACTCAAGGGTCCTGGGTTCGATTCCGGGCAAGGGCATGTACCTTGGTTGCGGGCACAACCCTCGTAGGGGGTGTGCAGGAGGCAGCTGATCGATGTTTCTCTCTCATCGTTATTTCTAACTCTCTATTTCCCTCCCTTCCTCTCTGTAAAAAATCAATAAAATATATATTTTTTAAAAAAGACAGGGGCTGGCGAACTTCCTCTGTAAGGGCCAGACAGTAAATATTTCAGGCTTTGTGGGCCGTTCCATCTCTGTGCCTATAGCGGGAAAGCAGCCGTAGACTACATATAAATGAAGCGCGTGGCTGTGTCCCAATAAAGCTTTATTTATGGACACTATACATTTGAATTTCACATAATTTTCACATTTCACAAAATAGTCTTCTTCTTTTGATTTATTTCCAAGATTTAAAAGTGTAAAAACCATTCTTAGCTTGAGGCTGATTAAAATGATAGTGGGCCTGATCCAGTCCACGCCGCAGTTTGTCTACCCTTTGGACTCCAGGCTCACCCCACTTCCCTCTGCCCCCCCCTCCCCCCACCCCAAACCTGGGCTGAGCTGCTGAAGTCCCAGCATGCCTCGGGCCTCTTGTGTCTGAAGGTCAAAGCCACTTACCAGAAGGACCACCCGTAGTCCCAGGAATGGGGCCTCCAGTCCTCAGGGCCAAGGCTCACGGTGACCTGGAACACCTGCGTGTACATCATGTGGGCGACCATTCCCAGGAGGCCTGTGGGGGAGCAGAGAAGGAGTCAGCAGGCAAGGTGGGGCTGTGTGCACCCCACGGCCATCGGTGCGTGGTTTTCTGCGGCTCATGGTCAAGTCTGTGAGCCCCTGGGCTGGGAGAGCTTTGGTTCGAGGGTCTGAGCGAGAGCCCCTCCCGCACATCTCCCCGCGCAGCCCTGGGCAGGGCACCCCCCTCCTCTGAGCCTCAGCGCTTTCTGTTCCGGGATGAGACTGTGACAGCTGAGCGGAGGGGGGTAAACCGAGGAGCCTCCGTGCCTGGTGCCCACCAGACACGCTCATTCGGCTGCCAGGTTAGGATAAACCCGGGCCGCGCCCCCGTGTGGATGCGGCGACGGGAGCCCTCTTGGTGCCGTGGTGACAGCCAACTGGCACGGACCGACCGACTTGCAGAGGGAGTGACAGGGTACCGAGGAGGGAAGGGGTCGCTGGCAAGAGGAAGAAAGGAGCCAGGGATGCGTATGCACTTACTGTGGCCAAGCACCCTGTCCGACCCTCACTTCTGTTTTTGCCTCTTTTGATCTTCATAACAACACTTGGAAGTGCCTGCCCCTGATCGTGGAACTTCCTTCAGGGGCTCTGGCACCTGTGTCTCCGTCCCGCCGCCTGGCCCAGGCCTGATGGGCACAGAGGACTCAGAGGCGACACAGAGGGGGGCCTGTGTTCTGGACGGGTGTCAGCCTCGCGTGGACACTTCCCCTGCTCTCTGACCCCAGGTGAGGGCTGCCCTCCAGGGCTGCTGGGGGCACTGAGGCAGGACATCCAGGGGGAGGTGACACATAGGTGCCGAGTCCCCTCAGGAGCCCCAGAGGCTCAGCACCCCCCAGGCTCTCTGTGCCGCCCCCCAACCCCTGGCCTGGGCTCTGTGGGAAGGGGGACGAGGGGACGAGCCTGCAGATAGCTCTGTTTATTTCCTTGACACCATTTTTTGGTGAACGTGCATGGGATGCCTTGATAATGAGGTGCCATATTTAATGTGTCCCATCAACTGATGGCACTGACGTTGCCTCCAGGATTTTGCTCTATAAGCAATGCTGCAATGAGCTCCTCCTACAGGGCTCATGCTCAGCCTCGCGGGCCGGTGCTTGAGACGATGAACGCTGACAATCTCGCCCCTCGCACGGTGAGACACGCAGCCCGACATTGCTCTACGTCTCACATTTCCCTCATTGCTAGTGCGCTTGGGCATCTTCACGTTTGTTAACATTTCTGTTTCTTCTTCTATGGATTTGCCAGTCTGTATCCTTTATCAGCTTTCTTCTTAAAAACTCTTTTTCGTGATCACGTGGTAGGAATTGTTTGTAGGTCTTGGGTACAAATCCCGTCTGTTGCGTGGACTACACAGTTTCCTGCTTGTCTTTTCCCACGTACAGAGGCCTCCTTTGTTAAAAATAGACTCTATTTTTAGAGCAGCTTTAGGTTTGCAGAGAAACTGAGCAGATAGTAAAGAGTTCCCATATGCCCCTTCTCTCCGCCCCACAGTCAGCGGGGTTCATGTGTTACAATTCATGAACCAGTATTGAGGCATTTTTTAAAATATATTTTTATTGATTTCAGAGAGGAAGGGAGAGGAAGAGAGAGATAGAAACATCAATGAGGAGAGGGAATCATTGATTGGCTGCCTCCTGCACATTGGACCGAGCCCGCAACCCCGGCATGTGCCCTTGACCAGCATGAACCTGGGACCCGTCGGTTCGCAGGCCGATGCTCTATCCACTGGGCCGAACCAGCCAGGGCTTGTGGCATTGTTACTAACTAAATCTATGGTGTACATTTGGCCCACTGTTGGTGCTGCACGTGCTGTGAGTTTGGACACTTGTATAGAGACAGGGATCCCAGTCCTGTGCCCAATAGGCTCCCGGCCCTAAAATCCCCGTACCCCACCCTCATCCCTCCCTGCCTCCCTCCTCCCAGCCCGGCCGTCACTGATCTTCTCATTGTCTCCATCGTGTTGCCTCTCCCGGAACCTGGGATTATTGGGTCGCCCTTTCAGACTGGCTTCTCCCACTCAGCGATGTGCGTTTCCGGTGCCTCCGTGTCTCCGTGGCTCGCTGGCTCATCGCTGTTTGGTGCTGAATGACGCTCCCTTGTCGGGATGCACCTCAGCTCACCCACCATCACCCCCTGAAGGGCACCTTCGCTGCTTCCAGTTTGGGGTGATTGTGAATAAGGCTGCTTTGGTCAGACATCTTGACATTTGCTGTAGTCAGACCCATCCGTCTTTCCCTTTTTGTTTTTTTAAAATATATTTTATTGATTTTTTACAGAGAGGAAGGGAGAAGGGTAGAGAGCTAGAAACATCGATGAGAGAAACATTGATCAGCTGCCTCCTGCACACCCTCTACTGGGGATGTGCCTGCAACCAAGGTACATGCCCTTGACCGGAATCGAACCTGGGACCCTGGAGTCCGCAGGCTGACGCTCTATCCACTGAGCCAAACCGGTTAGGACACGTCTTTCCTTTTTTGGGTTGCACTTCCTGTGTCTGACTTAAGAAAACCAACACCATACACAGAGTCTCCTATATTTTTCGAATGTACTTATAGCTGTTTGTTTAATTCCTTGGGGAATTTATCTTAGTGACTGTGAGGTAAGGATCTAGCTTAACTTTCTTAAATGAATCACTAATTGCTTTGAGCCCTTACAGAATCAACTACCTTTCTCCACTGATTTTATTTTATCTTATAAATATATTTTATTGATTTCAGAGATGACATGAGGGAGAGAGATAGAAGCATCAATGATGAGAGAGAATCATCAATTGGCTGCCTCCTGCAGGCCCCACACTGAGGATGGAGCCCGCAACCCGGACATGTGCCCTGACCAGGAATCAGACCGTGACCTCCAGGTTCACAGGTCAGCACTCAACCACTGAGCCCCGTCAGCCGGCTCTCCACTGATTTTAAATGACACTTCCACACCATATTCCACTCCCACCTCTACACCAGCCTGTTTCCTCTCTCAGCATCCTGTTCCCGTGTCAGCACCGCACTGTTTTACTTATGTAACTTACGGTCCAGTCTGTCACTGCCTAGGGCTCACTCCCTCTGCAGCTGCCCCTCCCTAGGGCTTTGCCCCTTAGCAGGACCCTGACCCCTTCCTTGGCCCCCACCAGTCCTTCCTGAGGCCTGGGCCTTGCTCTCTAAACCGCAGTTGTTGCAGCTTCTTCGGTTTCTTCCTCACGGTGCCCGGCCAGGTGCTCTTAGAGTTTTGATCTCTCAGTGCCTCTGTCTTCTCATCTTTAGAATGGGGACAGGAGCTGACACTGGCTGTCCAATGAGCATCCGCTAAGGAACTGGAACAGTCATGGGAACACCCCCTCCTGATGTCAGGACAGGGGGACAGCACAGCATTTTACTGCAAGATCTCTCAGCGGGACCCAGGAGCTGGACCGGCCTGCTGGCAGACCAATTAATTTTCTGAATTGTTGGTATAGAAAAGCATTGATTTCTCAATTGAATCCATTTATTCCCAAATCTGAAAGGCCATGCTTTAAGAAAACCCAATCAATGAAGTTGCAATTGGTGAGTGTCTCGAATTGCATTTTAAAGACTCCGCTTGGGAAGTCCGCCTCCTGCCCATGTTCTCTGGACGCTCACACACTGACCGCCACGTGTGCCACCGACCCGCAGCGGAAAGGACCGTTTCAGCTCCTCTGGGTTGAACAATGGCATGTTGATGAGCGACGGGACCTCCTCACTGAGGGGCCCTGAACGAGTGAGGCTCTCCTGCCGGGAGGCTTCCCGGGGGACCCCCACCAGGGGTCACAGTGTGAACCCTCCTCCCTGGGCTTCGGGACTCTCCCCACTCCTGACACCAGAAATGGAGCTCCCAGCCTGTAGGTGGGGGGACCCTGGGGAGCACGGGGAGGGGCAGGGGATGTTGGCCAGGGCTCAGACCTGGGCTGCACCCGGTGCCACCCAGAACCCAGAGCCGGAAGAGCTGTGGCCTCCCGGGCCTGCCCGCACTGGCTACCCTGAGGAGGAGAGGCTGGGGTGGGGCCAGAAGTAGGAGACTGTCAGGAGGGTCCGGGGTGAGATGAAGCCAAGGGAGAGAGAGGGTCTAGTTCCCACTCTGTATGACCTCCCTGGCTGTGCCTCAGTTTCCTCAGCTCTAATATGGGGCTCATAACAGCACCTACCTCGTAGATCGGTAGGAGGCTTATACTTGAAAAGCACTTAGAACAGTGCTTGACATCGTAAGCCCCACAGAAGTGTTTCTTGAATGAATGAATGAATGAATGAATGCCCGAGGCTCACTGTGTAGACCTGCTAGACCAGCACCTGGCAGGGACCTGGCTCACCGCGAGCGCTCACCTGTGTTTGCTGAATGACTAGGTGGCTGCTGGGTGCCACAGGCCGGTGTTAAAGGTCTAGTCTGGAATATGGGGCTGAGTTAGGACGGGGCCAAATTCGAAAGCTTTAGAGAGCAAATGTCAGTCATCATTCCTGTGTTTACTTGTCATTCCCATCCCAGATACTATTCCAGGGGCGGGGGCGGGGGCGACACTGGGAGAGACACCCCTGTCCTGCCGTCATGGCCTCCGGTGCTAGTGGGGAGGCCGACGGGGAGCCATGATCTCACAAGAACAGTCCAGGAAGTGGGAAGGGCTGTCAGGGTCAAGAGAAGACGGGCCAAGCACCGGCCAGCTCCAGGGCCGCGGGGATGGGAGGCCAGGGAGGGCCTTCTGAGGAGGGGACACTGAGCAGAGGTGGGTGGGAGCTGGAGGCAGCCACAGGAGTATGGGGAGGGGGCAGGACAAGGCCTACTGTTGGGCGAAGGGAGAGAAGGCACCGCAGAGTGAGAAAGGGGAGGTGGGCACGGCAGGCCCGGGCGCCCAGGACGCCCTGGACACAGCGAGGAGTCTGGCGGCAACTGTAAGCGGATGGGGAACCAGGCGGGTATAAGCGCGGGGCCAATTTCAGATGCTGCTGGTGACTCTGAACAGGGAGGATGGGGAACCGGGCGGGTATAAGCGTGGGGCCA